AAATTTTCGCGATTCCTTTTAAAACGATCGAATTATATTTTAACAAACCTAACTGTCGCGTTCTGGACTTTAAAGGATATCTTACGCACGCGTCTCTTTTTTGATGGACTAAATTTTCGCGATCATTTTAATGTAGCGCGAAGAAGCGAAAATACCATTCCCGCAAAAATAACTGGTTAAACGGTATTTCGCCTATCACCCAATCAATTCTGAAATATATAACTTCTTTTCTTTGTTGATGATATGTTTAAGTCCTAATTCTCGTTCGGATTAAGTGATTCGTGTAATGAGTAAGCAGATGCTATGCTCTTTTAAACTTTTCCCTTTACACATATACTGAAGCTATATCCTACCGCTGTTTTAAATTAATCTTCACCGTCATCGTACATTCACGAGTAATTGTAGGGCCAATGCTATTGTCTCCATAACTAACGTTGTTGTATGGAATTAGAGTCAATTTGTTTCTCTTCACATTTTAGTGAAATAAAAAAAATGTCGTCAAAAGTGTAACGATTTTGTTTTCTGTTTTCCTAATCATAGGAAAAAGTCTCCAACCCATATATATCTTTTATTGATTTCACTTAATACGCCCACAACTGAGGTTGAATTGTCTTTCGTAGTCTGTGTCATAGCAACAGTAGACAATAACATTACGAGGGATTCCTATTATAAACGTCTTTTTGTTTATTTTTTTATGGTTAAAAAATTCACGATATTCCATACTCGAAACTGTAGAATTGGCATATATATAATAACATTTTATAGCAAAATCCCTCGGTGTAAAACAAACAGCTGTTAATCACCTCAACAAAACCGGCCAGTGGTTGTCTTTGTTATATTTCTCTACGGAGGTCACAAGGTGTAGAACATGTTTTGTGCCATTTTTTTCTTTTCTTAATCAAATATTGTCTTCGTCTGTTGAGTATACACCTACATTCATGTTCAAGTCATCAGTGATTGAGTAGAGGTATTTGACCTCCCACCTTACTCATTCATTAAACATTTATAAATGTTAGCTGAGTGAAGATCAATTGGTAGAAGTATAATAACCAAAATAAGTTAACAAAGCAAGACTTGTCACAAATATTTATTTTGAATGAATAAATCATTAAGTATGTTTACTTAAAAAATTCAAATAAACAAAAAGGTTTTATATCGCACTTTTATTTTTCACTTTAACACAGTTGTTGTAAAATTGAAAATCAATCCAATGTTTACCGTTTTGGGGTGTTGTTTTAATCTTCAAAGGAAATTTCTTTCTTACTAACTGTCCTCCATTTTTTACCTATATTTTTGTCTATATTGTATATTTGTTTTCATTTCATATTTAGAAATCTATGTTTAGATCACACATTTATTACAATGCCAAGTAGGGACCAAAGATCTAATTGATATAATGGGTTAAGTGTTTCCAATTTCGATCGAATAAACTTTTTATAATATTTGCCAACAATTCCTTCTTAAGAGTATTTGCTACAACAGTCTACTGAAAAACAAGCCAACGAGAACACCGGAAGCAGAAATATAATGTCATTGTGATTTATATCTTCTCAGCCAGTACACTTCCCCATCATTTCGATCACCTTAGATGTCCCTCAGTCGCCTCCTTGTCTTAAACCTTAAAACCCATGACATCGCTGAGGAGTCCTACAAGGACGAAACAGCTTTCAGTGATAGAGGTCTTTGCTAACCAGAGTAACTTACTAACATTGTACGAAATGATGAAAAAAAATCAAATTACGTTTAATGTTTAATTTTCTATTTTGTTTATGCTGTTAGGTAATTTGAGGAAACTGAATACTGAAAAAGTTATCGCTTCACAAACATTAATCTCATGTTTTATATCGAAACCGTATGATATCCTGCAATTTGTGTGTTAATGAAATCGAATCGTGATTTTATCCAAAAGAGGTTTTGAAGATTACAAGTTATATAAAATTACAAATCTTGCACTGATAACAATGAGAGACTGCAAGGATATTACAGAGAAAAAGAAGTGTTTAGGAGGAGCTTGCATGCATGTTTCTGTTTTTTTTTTATCAACGTTACATGATGCAGAACTGAATCGTCGCAGAACACCAGAAGGAACAGCATTAAGATAATAAAAAGGACATAGTATATGACAACATGCCTGCACACCGAATACACTAAGGCTTCAAACTGCGACATTTTTATAGAATATCCTAAATGACGTGTTTTAGCTCAACATCAACAGATTATGTTTTGTATCCATGATCCATATGCCTTTATAGTTACTATCGTATCTACACCTAACTATTGTGTCGATTTCCACCCCTAACCATTATGTCGATTTCCATCCCTAACCATTATGTCGATTTCCACCCCTAACCATTATGTCGATTTCCACCCCTAACTATTGTGTCGATTTCCGCCCCTAACTATTGTGTCGATTTCCGCCCCTAACTATTGTGTTTGATTTCCACCCCTAACTATTGTGTTGATTTCCGCCCCTAACTATTGTGTTGATTTCCACCCCTAACTATGGTGTTGATTTCCACCCCTAACCATTATGTTAATTTCCATCCCTAACCATTGTGTCGATTTCCACAATGTGTTCATGTTTGTTGTAACGTTTTTAAATATTTCATTAGATTTATGCAGTGACTAATAGTATTGCTGCATGATCTTTTAAATAAGAGCGTTAGATGACGTCCAGACATAAAAAAAACAAAAAAACAAAAATCTCATACGCTATCATCTCTTTAATGGTTAATCATATGGTCTGATAAAAAATAACCAACATGTCAAGACAATCAAAGTAAAATTAGGACAAAATAAAAAAGTAAGATTGAGATTGAGACTTCTGGAAAAGTAAAAAGTGACTAGGTGTTCCGGAAGAGTAAGCGACCTCTGCTTCATCGGCGACATGCGTCATGTAAATCTTGGTCAATCCAACTAAGTAATGTCAGGTTATGTCCCTATGCATCAATTTATTTTTGACATTTGATATCAACAAACGTGACGGTACATACAGAATATCTATTTATCGCTTCAGTTATTTATCAAACTATCACTATTGTACAAAACACTCAAATCAATTCTTTCTTTTAATCAAAAATTAAAATTCGATATTGTAACGCCACGGGATCAAACTCCAACATACATATAGTTCGTTGTTCTGGAAATTATGTTACAGTCATAAATTGTTGAAACGTAACAAGCGACTAAGTAAAACCATAATTGTTCGAAATGACCTGATCGGAAGATGAATTTATTTCCAAAACGATATACATTTGATAGTTTTCAATACTGAGTGATTTGAGAAGAAATCAAGTGTAATCTTGAACTCGAATATAAGGAACTAAAACGAACTATTAAGAGAAGCAAATGTGTATAACGTATACTTAGAGAGGATAATATATGTGAAAAACGTAATGATTCATCAAAATCCTCCACGAAAGGATACAAAATTAAATCCTAATACATATTGATTAATCTGATATTGTTTCAATGATTTCAGACAAATATTTGTTTTACAGGGCCTCACCGTTCATTCACTATAATCAGATCTAAGTTATTTTTATATGAAACGTTCATGATGAAAAAAGATTTTACATTGAAATATTTACTCGGTGTGTTGTTTAAGTAGATGACACACATACAATGTATAACACACACCAGTACTATCTGACACGTGCTACACACACCAGCCCTATCTGACACGTGCCACACACACCAGTCCTATCTGACACGTGTCACACACACCAGTACTATCTGGCACGTGCCACACACACCAGTACTATCTGACACGTGTCACACACACCAGCCCTATCTGACACGTGCCACACACACCAGTGCTATCTGGCACGTATCACACACACCAGTACTATTTGACATATGCCACACACACCAGTACTATCTGGCACGTGCCACACACACCAGTCCTAACATACACGTACCACACTCACCAGTACTATCAGACACGTGCCACACACACCAGCCCTATCTGACTCATGCCACACACACCAGTCCTAACATACACGTACCACACTCACCAGTACTATCAGACACGTATCACACACACCAGTACTATCTGACACGTGCCACACACACCAGTCCTATCTGACACGTGTCACACACACCAGTACTATCTGACACGTGTCACACACATAAATATTATCTGACACGTGCCACACACACCAGTACTATCTGACACGTGCCACACACACCAGTACTATCTGACACGTGTCACACATACCAGTACTATCTGACACGTGTCACACACACCAGTACTATCTGACACGTGTCACACACACCAGTACTATCTGACACGTGCCACACACACCAGCCCTATCTCATACGTGCCACACACACCAGTACTATCTGACACGTGTCACACATACCAGTACTATCTGACACGTGTCACACACACCAGTACAATCTGACACGTGCCACACACACCAGTACTATCCGATAAGTGTCACACACACCAGTACTATCTGACACGTGTCACACACACCAGTACTATCTGACACGTGCCACACACACCAGTACTATCTGACACGTGTCACACACACCAGTACTATCTGACACGTGCCACACACACCAGCCCTATCTCATACGTGCCACACAGTACTATCTGACACGTGTCACACACGCCAGTACTATCTGACACGTGTCACACACACCAGTACTATCTGACACGTGCCACACACACCAGTACTATCCGATAAGTGTCACACACACCAGTACTATCTGACACGTATCACACATACCAGTACTATCTGACACGTGTCACACACACCAGTACTATCTGACACGTGCCACACACACCAGCCCTATCTCATACGTGCCACACACACCAGTACTATCTGACACTTGTTTATGTTCTCCAGTTGGTTTATCAGTCAGAATCCCGATATCTCATGCCTACGATAACTATATACATATATATAATAACATAGTTTATAAAAAACTTAAGATAACAGATTCAAATTAAAAATAGAAAAAAAATGTATATATAAGCATACTAAGGCTAAAACAGGCGTGTAAAGATGAATGATTGTAAGCCATATTCTGTTACACTATGCTAGTCGTTTAGAGTTATCGGTGATGTTATGTTTCTCCGTTACTGTTTCTATCGTTGAATCACTCTTAAATCATTATATACTCAATACACAAATTGATGACTTTAAATCGTCTTCCTGGCTCCTTTTCCATGGTTAGAAACTGTATACATAAAATATTGCTTCAAAAGTCACAATTCTTCACATAGTCTTAAGGAAGCTGTTTTTATTCTTGGTTATATTCTTATTGTGACGACGTAAATTTAAAATATATACATATCGGATAATGTTTTTCTTGTGATTGCTATCATCAATGTTTTCTTTAGGAGTTATTCTATAGAGCATGAAACCTTCTTCATGTTGAACATTTTACATTAACCTCAAGAAAGATTTAATTGCTTTGCCGCCTGTCGTTTAAGCTCTTGTTTATCAATCTTTCCATTGAAAAGCATCGGAAACTCGTCAAACCTTAGGAAATACTTGGGCATTGACCCAACTGCGTCCGAAGATTCTTCTGAAGAAAAACTATTTTCACAGTGACGTTGAACATCTGATGAAGTCAGATCCACTCCATCTTTTGATACATAGCATACACACACTTCTTCAAACAGCCGGACATCTGGAACCGCCACCGTAGCTACATGTCGTATACCGTCGAGAGTCTTTATGACGTCATCCACCATTCCTGGCAGCACCTTCCGTCCTCCACGAGAGATATTTTCCTTGATTTTCCCATGCACGACCAGATCACCAGATGAGGTAATCGAACCAATATCTCCTGTCCTGAACCAGTTAGGTCTATCCGTGGTAAATGCCGAATTTGTCATAGTTTCGTCACCATAATAACGTTTCATCAAAGAGCAACATCTGACCTGAATTTCTCCTTCCTCGCCGATCGGTACAACTCTTCCATTTTCGCTGACAATCCTCACTTCAACACCGGTTGAGGGTTTTCCCACATTGCCGGTTTCGAAGCAATCTCCACGATGAAGAGATTTATTCGATATGGCGAGGACTTCTGTTGACCCGTATCCGACGAACAGCATTTTGCAGAATCTGTCTATAACCTGAGTGTAACAACTGTTTATAATTTGTCCGCTGGTCGTAATAACTTTTAACCGAAACCCGTCGTCTGCTATAATGTTTTGTTTGTCAATAAGGTCGAACAGATGATAAGGAAACAGCATAGCACAGTCAATATTTTCTTCTGCTAGGATTTTCCAAATTTCATTTATCGCTTTTCCCGTTGTTCCTAATTTGGAGTCTGTGAAAACTACAGTACCTCCTAACACCGTTGGCGTAGCTACTGATCCACCAATCCAGCAAAACGGGCGGTCATTGTAGTATCGCTTCATCGTTTTCGCCTTATCATTGTTAGATAAATAGCCACCAGTGAAATTAAAGTGGCTATGAACAACCATTTTGGGTTTACCAGTACTGCCGGAAGTAGTAAATATCAAGGCGTCATCTTCAGGGTATACTTCCGGCAATTCTGCGGATGAACTAGATGCAATTTGGACATCGTCAAGGAGAGTGTGCACGATATTTGATGTTGATTTCCTTAAAAAGATATATTTATACTTCTGTTGAATTCCATTGCCAGGTTTGTTTTCCAGATTTCGAACGATCGGAAGTAAAACATCATCGACGCCAGGATCGGCAAAGACAATTCGACAATCAGTTTTTTCTAAAAATTCAACAAGGTCGCTGGAATTTTTCGCGTCGCTATTGAGTTGCAAGACGACAGCTCCAGCCAGGAGGATACCAAATTCCGCCACTATTCTAGATATGGTATTTGGACCAAACAACCCAACATTATCCAGCCTCTGTACACCGGAAGCAATAAGATACCTTGCCACACATTTCGCCTTCTCAAAGAGATCAAGGAAAGTGATGGTCTCTCGAGATCCATCGGCACGGCGGTAGATGAATGCTTCTGTGTCAGAGCTGGTTCTTGCATTCCTCTTGATGATGTCATTGATACTGCAATACTGGTTAGGTGTTGTTGCATTGGAGTGCAAATAGCTCATCGTACTCATGGTCACTATAACAAAAATACCATCCGTCAATGCCTTTTTATTAGAACATGTGAAATCATGTGTAATCCAAATCAATATATTTCACTTACATTGTTAATAAAATTGATTTTAACAACTGAACTATGTAATTATATTTCCACACGTAAAAGAGACTTTCACTCGGAAATAACAGTGTTGAAAATAGATTCCATTGCACAGTATTCGAATTGGAGAAACGCTGTCAGATTTCTTTAAATATATATCAAATGAATTATTTTTAAATCCATTCTTCCTACATATTTGAATATTCTAATAAAAACGGTTCATCACACGGCCAACCGAAAAGAGATTGAAATTGAATGTTCTCGCCAGACATTCCATGTTCCATTATACATCTTTCTCGTGCCTGTTTTGCCTGTTGATAACTTTGTTTAAGATATAGCTTGGTTTTCTCCTAATGTTCAACAATTAAGGTCCTCAATATATCTAACGAGTCTTAGAACCGCTTTATCATGCGGTTTTGTTAAGTATTTGGCTCTACAGTATTTTATTCATTTTTTTGTCATAAAATACAATTAATTTCTGTGTCTCTTGTACAAGCTTTGAGATTAGGGACGGTAGATACTTCTAGTTAATATTAATTTCCTAAGATTTGTTATAACATGTATACTACGTTTAATTAATTCTAACAAGAGAACGGTTCAGGATATCTAAGCAACTGTCCCGTTCAAAATAGTTCTCTCACAGGAATAGATTTAGCCGAGTTGCTGTTTTGTTGAGCCATCTGTGTTAAGTATCGTTAAGTATATTTTTGTCGAATCTGACTTATAGTGACCGCTTTCAATATTATAACATAATAATCAGTTTTCATATATTTAATAATATGTCTTTTTATTCAGTTTTATTTCAATATCATCTTTTTTAAGGAACTTTTCCTTTTTACTTTTTGAATTTTTGATCCTGGTTTATGTATTTTGAACTCAAATTGTAACAATAAATATCAGTATTTGTTAATGAAAAAGTCAACAAATGAATTAATAAAAAACACTACATGTCTCATTAAGATTTTTCCAGTCGACAAAAACAAAAAAACACCATAGATAAACATTTAAGCTGTACCTACCTGTTGCCTTTTCCTGGTGTTCGGATGTCGTGTTGGGTGGTATATCGATTGAATGCCAGTGATGGTGTATATACAATGGGATGAGAGCACTTTTATATATAAACAAACTGTGTAAGTGCATACCAGTGACATACATGCATTATATATATATATATATGTATGAAACACTTCATATCAACAGCGATCGTGTGTGTTTAAAACTGATAATTCGTTGTTGTCTTCCTGGTAACAAGCTCTTGTATCCCGTCCCTGTGTCTTCTTGTGTGGTGTCATTAGAGTGTACATTGAGTTCACGTTTAACAATTGTTAACTGTTTTCTGTATTCCTGTTTCAGGATGTATCAGGTATTACATACAATAATTACATGATTCCCGATTAAGACAGGGTTTGCTTTTATATTGGGAGGTGTTTAAAACTGTGCTTGAACTTTGCAAATTTGATCAACACTTCCAGCTGTATTAGCAGTTAAGCTATCAGATAACATGAAAATGTTGACGGCATGCCATATGAGTTCCTATCTATATGGGATTGATGTAACTCATCATGGATTGTGAGGTAACAAGATACTTTCATGACGAGTTGCATAAATTGTAATATTCATACGAAATAAAACGAAGGTAAGATCCTATTTCTTTATGACGTCACAATGGCAATAATTCAGCCAATCACATTTCTGCAAGGTCATGTGCAATGTAAAATCTCTATGTAGTTGGAGTTAAACCGATAACTGTAAACTGGCGGTCATGATATCGAAGCTGATTAAATACTTATTATCATACTGTGATTTAACTTTGGTTAACTGCCGCACTGTACTTCATTCAAGGCGCAGACAACTGGCAGACACACTCACTACGAAGAAGTTCGAAAGATGCAGGATGATGAAAAGACATGGGAAAGTTTGACGGTCGAAATAGTTATCTTTTTGAGAAATGTTCTATTTATTTTTATGAGACTTAATTCCGTGGTGTTCTATCTTGCTCTCATTTTGGAACGTTACTTTATTTACCAAAATTGAGCCAGGATTTAATAACACGGAGGGTATCATGGACGACACAGAACACATTTGTTCTACCACAACTCTGATATTTTTCTCTTTAAACTTTTTTAAAGTTAACCTTGTAAATCGTGTGTTCATAGAGTGTCCTAGTTTTATTGGAGTTGAATTTTCTGCGCTGTTGTCAAGGAATAATTCCGAATCAGTAGTAACAGAATTTTTCACAAGATATTCTGTTGGCTTTTCGAGATTTTCTTTTTCGTTTTTACTTAAGTCATGAAACAAAGTTATTTTTTTCTATTTTTGTTTTATTTTCAATGTTCTATAGAGCAGGAGTATATTCAGTCTCAAACACAAGAAAAACCATATAAACCCCGGAAAATACCATACCGAGAAAAGGTGTTTATACAGAAATAAAGAAGACACTAAACTCTTGATATGTTGATCCATTTAAAATATTGTATCTGTAAGATAATTGATTTGCGCCACGTTATTACTTTTCCTTGATTTTGTTGGATATCTTAATCCACGAATTTATGTCTATGAACTGTAATAATTAGCATTAGTTGATCCATAGATCTATTTACCTGTATGGATCCACGAATCTATAGGTCTAGGACCTTTAATAATGAGTATAAGAGGATCTTTGGACCTATTTATATATATTAATTCACAAGTGGCCAAAATATTTTTTTATTATTAATTTTTTTTTTTTTTTTGAAAAACCTCGGAAATTTAGCCCCACCAAAATTTAGTAGTACTTCAAAGCATATATTGTTCATATTTTTATTTATAGCTGTAACGTAAAAATGTTTTCCGGCTGGTATAAAATGGGCAATTTCCCGTCACAACTTATTTCAAACCAGATGTCGATGGTGATAACTGTAGGACAATCGGATATTAAGACTTATTAGATCCTGTTTTGAATGATAACATGCTTACATTACTTGTAAACAAAGTGTTTCATAGTCTAACTTTATTTCATGGTATTAATATTAGTCATACTCAAACATTACACATTACTTTAACACGAACTAAATATGAAGGAGACGTAACTAAAAACACTAGATATTATTTCCGAATATAAATCTTTTTAAAAATTAAATAAAATGTAAATATCTAACCCATTGAGATTGTATTTCTAAAATAAAGCAATTATAACCGTGACAGTTTTCTTTTTAAACGAAGATTAATCATGCAAATAGCATAACGTTAACATTTCATTATCAGGTAATTTTCATGTGACCATCAATTATATAAATAATTCTGCTAGACGCATGAAAATAGGCGAGATTTTCTTAGTTATCGTTTATTTTTTCATGTTTGAAGTAAATCATATTTTAGTAGATAATTTCAATACATAAATATGATTCACAAGGCAGTTAATGGTCAAGAACACTGTTTATTGATTTAGGCTGATGCCATATAAACAATGCTTATGGTTGAACAGTCTGTAGACACAGCAATAAAATTTTAACACGATTAAGTTTGAATAAAGTTTTATTGTATTAACAAGTGTAACAAAAGAGAGACAATAAACCGAACGGGTCGATTAACAGGCTACATGTTATGTAGAATATATATACAATGTAATGATAACGAAGATCTTATCCAACCACGGAACAATTTCATACTGTCGCAAAGATTATATAATTATACTTAAAAAATCTCATTAAAATTTCAATATACTGGAACAGTACTAGAAATACGACATTCTAGTAAAATATTAATATACACGAAAATATTAAGAGGATATACAATATGAAAAACAAGATTCGGTATAACTGGAAAACATGACGACATTTAAATGACTTCCCAAATGAATACTGGTCAGATATATAAGACATTCATTCACACTTCTGTTCTCTGTGTTAACCATATAGGTGGTCATTGTCACGGGTCAAAAAGTACAATATCGGGATCTGTTTATAAGAGGAATCTCATACACGTGTCTCATTATTGCACGGATTAAATTATCGCGATTATTATAATGTACCGTAAAATAGCAAACATATCATCCCAGCGAAAATAGCCAATCGTACGGTATATCGATAATCTGTATCTACTTTATGCATTTTAATAATAATCCATCTTCCTTCACATCAACATTCCCTGTTTGATAATCCTAATATGCCTTTTTTATTTAATATTACCCAACTTGCTCATCAAAACACATCGATTGATTATAATGTTAATTTTGTGAGCCCAATCGTTGAAATATCGTTATAGCATTAATACAGGAATCAATAGAAATTCTTATTTACAACTAAGTGCCAAATAAAAACTGAACTGTACATGGGTAATTACAGATTTTTCAAAAGAATATACAATCACTGCATGGTTTGTATAGAGAAAGCTACGACTGCTGACTTTTACTAATCACAACAAAACGCCTGCTGACTTTTACTGATCACAACAAAACGCCTACTGACTTTTACTGATGAAACCAAAACGACTGCAGACTTTTAATGATTACACCAAAACGACTGCTGACTTTTACTGATAACACCAAAACGACTGCTGACTTTTACTGGTCACTTTTACAGATCACACCAAAACGACTGCTGACTTTTAATGATTACACCAAAACGACTGCTGACTTTTACTGACCACAACAAAACGACTGCTGATTTCTACTGATCACAGCAAAACGACTGCTGACTTTTACTGATCACAGCAAAACGACTGCTGACTTTTAATGATCACTTTTACTGATCACAGCAAAACGACTGCAGACTTTTAATGATCACAGCAAAACGACTGCAGACTTTTACTGACCACAGCAAAACGACTGCAGACTTTTACTGATCACAACAAAACGACTGCAGACTTTTACTGATCACAGCAAAACGACTGCAGACTTTTACTGACCACACCAAAACGACTGCTGACTTTTACTGATCACAGCAAAACGATTGCAGACTTTTACTGATCACTTTTACTGATCACAACAAAACGACATCAGCCCTTTACTGATCACAACAAAACGACTGCAGACTTTTACTGATCACTTTAACTGATCACAACAAAACCACTTCAGACTTTTACTGATAACATCAAAACGACTGCAGACTTTTACTGATCACTTTTACTGATCACAACAAAACGACTGCAGACTTTTACTGATAACACCAAAACGACTGCAGACTTTTACTGACCACAACAAAACGACTGCTGACTTTTACTGATCACAAGAAAACGACTGCAGACTTTTACTGATCACTTTTACTGATCACAACAAAACGACTGCTGACTTTTACTGATGACACCAAAACGACTGCAGACTTTTACTGGTCACTTTTACTGATCACAACAAAACGACTGCTGACTTTTACTGATCACAACAAAACGACTGCAGACTTTTACTGATCACAACAAAACGACTGCTGACTTTTACTGATCACAACAAAACGACTGCTGACTTTTACTGATCACAACAAAACGACTGCTTACTTTTACTGATCACAACAAAACGACTGCAGACTTTTACTGATCACTTTTACTGATCAAAACAAAACGACTGTAGACTTTTACTGATCACTTTTACTGATCACAACAAAACGACTGCTGACTTTTACTGATCACAACAAAACGACTGCAGACTTTTACCGATCACTTTTACTGATCACAACAAAACGACTGCTGACTTTTACTGATGACACCAAAACGACTGTAGACTTTTACTGATCACTTTTACTGATCACAACAAAACGACTGCTGACTTTTACTGATGACACCAAACGACTGTAGACTTTTACTGATCACTTTTACTGATCACAACAAAACGACTGCTGACTTTTACTGATCACACCAAAACGTCTGAAGACTTTTAATGGTCACTTTTACTGATCACAACAAAACGACTGCAGACTTTTACTGATCACAACAAAACGACTGCAGACTTTTACTGATCACTTTTATTGATCACAACAAAACGTCTGAAGACTTTTAATGGTCACTTTTACTGATCACAACAAAACGACTGCTGACTTTTACTGATCACAAAAAAACGTCTGAAGATTTTTTTATCATTTTTTGAACACAACAAAACGACT